ACTGGTATTATATTAATGATACAAGTCCTAACAAAAAACTAAAGTCTCTCTTTTATATCAGCTCAGTATGTATGCTTTTCCTTATATTGCTGCTTTTTGTAGCTTTGATGGTGTTATTCCTGAGATCTGAAACTGCTTATAATACTGTGTGAAATGTATTGATATTGTTCCTGAAGCCCTGATGACTATGGGGGCACTGAAGTGTGTTTCATCCACAAGTGAGATGTTTTGATGTTCAGATCTCTGTATTTTGTCAGTTTTTCCAGTTCTTTATTTTCTGGCATCCCCTGGATGACAGTGATAATGATGATGATGATTGTATAAATATATATTTATCTATATGTAATAATAATAATGAGCTTAGTTTTGTCCATATTTTTGTCAGAGCCATAGCTCCAAGACCATGACTCCTAGACACCTGCAACTTGGCATATGCCCTGATGTCTACAACTGGGAGTTATTTGGGGTTTTGTTTTAGCCTGCTTCTCTTCATGCTTCTCATCAAGGCCTGCAGTTATTTTCAAGCACTAGGTGGCAAATGTCCCTAAACAACACAGAGGTTTGCAGTCAAACTAAACTGCAGGCTATTGAAAATCACAGGACAGTATTCCTGAGGAAAGATTTATAGGATTTTTTTCCTGCCATGAAGCCATCTCCTCATAGGAGCAGAGGGAGAATACCCCTCATCTAGCAGGCTATGGGGTGCCCCATGGCAAATACCAGGCCTACAAGTATCATTAGCCATGGTGTGGCTTCCCAGACTTACCTGCTCAGCTTTTCCTCACAAGTCTACTGCTGACAGACACTCCTTTCACTAGTCTGCCACAGACTGTATATAAACTTGGAGTCACCTCACGGAATGAATGGGGAGGTACTTCAAGGTGTGCACCCCCAACACCTGCTTTTGTCACAAGCCACTAATGCAGAAGCCTTTTCCCCTCTAAGTGCTGGAGCATAGCAAAGGGGTAGAAGCCTGAGGGAAAAAGCTGCCATTCAAATGGGACCACATGGGTTGTATCAGGCCCCTTGGCTAGAATTCCTCGTGTCTGCTTCAATAGATACTGACTGACCTTTCGAAGGAGTTGCCTTCCACATACAAACATTAGAATTTGTGCGAAGGAAGGAAGGAAGGAAGGAAGGAAGGAAGGAAAGCTAGGAATTGGGGAAGAAGGAAGGAAGGAAGGAAGGATTCTTAAGCATTTTATAGGACAGATATCTGACTGCTATGTTTTCTGTAAAGGCTGACATGCCTCAGGGTAGGGAAATGAAAAGACAACTCACTATACTGCAGTTTTCTGGTATCATTCTCTTATGACAGTCTCTTCCAAACATTTCAGATGTGCTTCCCTCTTTAAACCAAAGCTGCCGCTGCTATGCTGGGAAGAGGCATTCCCAGTAGCTGCCAACCCTTCTCTCCATTTGGAATGCTTGCAGGCTACTGGGAAAGATTGCCTCTAAGAACCCAGTTTGGGTTTTGCCTCTATTCCTACCCTTTGTACTAAACGGGGTTGTGTTAGTCCAAACCAATGTATTCCTCTGGTTTTGTTTCAGAAGGAAGCATTTCACCAGCCCTATGTTTTCTCTTTCATGCTACTGCAGTGACAGAAGGAGCTGCACCTTGTAGAATCTTCCAGTTCATGGAGAACCTTCTCTTCAGACTGGTCAGTCTTCAACATGGTAGCACTCTCTCCTTTCTCATGCCTTCAGACTAACACTTCCTGAGTGCCTGAAATGACCACTAGCTACTCTCAGAGATTCTGTATCAGTAAAGTATCCCCTTATTTAGGAAATGGGTTACCTAATAGAGGGACAGGATAGTAGAAAATGTGGCCCTCCCATCATCCCCACTTTCGTCTGTTTCTGTCTAAAGCTGATGGGGATTTTAGTCTAACAACTATGTTAGTGGAGTATGGTATAAATCAGCCTATGCCAAACAACCTGATGTAGCTCTTATTGAATCATGCAGGATTCTTACTGGCTGTCTGAAACCTACTCCCACTGAAAAAGTCCATTATTTGGCTGGCATTGTCCCTCCAGAAGTACATGGAGAGGTGCTAGCAAATAATCAACAAAATAAGGTAATACGGTACCAAACACATCTACTTTATGGACTCCAATCCCCTAGACAACAACTACAATTAAGAAGAAGTTTTCCATGCTCATCTCAAGCTCTAAATATTCACCCAGAAGAGACTGGGATAAACCTATGGGGAACAAAAACAGCACACCTTGTCGAATGGGTGAATGCTGAAGAGTGTCTCATTCCAGGACAAGATTCTAGCTGGACCATCTGGAAGTCACTTAATAGAATTCAAAGCAAAGTAGGAAGATCAAAGAATAAGCAAGTAAACTTTTATTTAAGTAAACCCGTTTATTTTTATTTTTTGCCTCAAAATTACCAGTTGCAACAGTTGCTTTGACTTTTGCTTGTTGTACCTGTCTTGTTTATTGTTGCACACCATTGGTAGTCCATTTTGAGCATACTAGAGTCTGCTTGAATGTGCAGAGCGGTGAATAAGAGCATTCATATGTATGTTTGCTTGTGTTTATGTGTATAAGGCAACCTGAGTATTTACAAGCTCCTTTTGTAGTTATAATATACATCACGATTAGGCACTGCTTCATTAACCTGTCAGTCCAACTGCTCTCTGCTCTTGCTCCCCCCCCCGCCTCATTTGCATTACTCCAAGAGGCTAGAGGAGAGAGATGCCTAGATGGGTCTGGAGAAGAGAGAGCCCTTTAACATCACATTTCTGTAACTCCAACAGCAGAACTATCTAGCTATGCCGTTGGTTCCAAAACTAGATTCAGCCTCTCCTCCAGGTATTGTCAAGAATGGCAATGCTCCACTGAGTAATTTATCAAGAAGCCGCTGGTCAGTGGTACTTCCACTCTGGGTGCTGATCCTTTAGATTGCCAGAATACTTCTCAGGAGGAGAGAGAGACTTGCCTGCAGTGCATTTACTGTTTGGAAGAGCTGCTGATGGGCCAGGCCCCAATAACAACCCCCCCCCCCAAAAGTGCTGATCTTGCTGAAAGCTGTTGACAGTGATGGATCAGCTCTAGTCTTGCCTTTCTGTTGTGCTGCAAAAATGGGAGAAGAGGAAAAGAGAGGAGAGGAAGGGAAACAAAGATGGAGATTAACTCTTTTGTCATGGGCTCTGCAGTTTTACAAGGCAAGATAAAGCTGCTGTCCAGGTTAGGCTGATAGGCCAAGTTCAGCAGAGTCTGTCACAGACTCCATGATGATTTACTTAACAGCCCACCAACACCAAAACCTGTGAGGACCATCCCCTTCTAACAGGGGCAGAAGCTGAGAATTGCCTGGGGCAGTTGAGCTGCAGACTGTAGTTCTCCGTCTCCTTGAATAATTAAACTGCATCATGTTCAAGCACGCAGATCCCCCTGCCATAGAAATAAAGTCAGAGACTGTGGAGGGGGGAGGTGTCTGGTTCAGACCTAAGAAATACTAAGCAGACATCTGGAGTGAGAAGTATGTAGCCTTCTAGATGCTGTTGGATCTACTCCCATCATCTTTCACCATTCCCTTGGCTTGGCTTGGCTTGGCTTGCTGGGAATTGCAGCCTGACATGTATGGCGAGCTACATGTTACCAACCCAGAAAAAAACTACACATAATTCAGACAGACATGAAAGGCAATAACTATAGCATATTCTGGGCATGATTTTCCTGCACATATTCCCCTCTTGGGGGTAGGTGGGTGGGGAATGAAATAGAATACTGCAGCCTCTTTCTATATGGTATGTGTGGGTTGCTGTTGTTAATGAGTCCTATTTACAGATTTTAAAAGAGCTAATCATCCAGGTAGTTTCTATGGATGTGAACGTACCTGTTCCTTTTTGTAGGACCCCATATATAAAAATGTGTCTTCTTCTTTCCCTGCATCTTTCCTTTTATAGGATGGGTGGTTGTGGTCCTGTCAAAAAGGTGAGAGAATGAAAGAATACGAGGATCATTTGACCTTTCCACATGCTGAGGGGAGGCCTCCCCCACCTATAGTGTCTCTTTTTTTTCATGAGTCCTGCTGGGAGTGGAAGAGGCTTGGTCCAATGAAGACCCAGAGCCCCCACCTACCCATCCCTTTTGGAACCACAGGGGACTGAGGACCTCCAAGCTAATGGTGGAGAGTCCACAATCTCCAGATAAGGGGAACTCTGTGTAGTTTGAAACTGCTGCGTCTTACTCACAGGAAGCAGTTGTCTTCACAAGAAGCAGAGCAGAATTTACACTTCCTAAAAACAAATGCAAGGCTGCATCAGATAAGTTTTTGGATGTGTTGATTGGTATGACTTCGTTCAAAAATGTTGGCTGTGGCAGCCAAGGCTATTTGTAGGTGACAAATTGATCTGCAGTATGTTCTTAGTCCAGGACTTCCAGAAATACGTGATACATTTGGCTCTCCTGATATCTGGTCCTGAACTGACTAAGAAGTGCATTACTTATTTTCCCACACTTGAGTCATGACCTGCCCTGCTATGATCCCAACTTTGTTTGACAAACTCCACTTTCATTTGCCTCTTATCTGCCCCATTTGTTGGCCCCGTGCATGCCTTGATACTGGCTTGGTTCCCCACACATTGTGTTTGGTTACTCCTTATTTGCTGTGATGCTGTCATGTGGCTATTGGTCTGACTCAAGACCATCTAAGTCTACGACCTTGCTTGGCCCTTGTCCTCCAGAACCAGGACACCTAGGAAGTGCAGTGACAAAAAAAACTGTAAGTCAAGAAATATGGAAACATGGTGTGGTGCTTCTACCACTCTACACAGCTATGTATCTACATATTTGTAAATATAGTGATATTAGGTTTATATGTGAAAGTATGATTCATACATATACATGATATGAGTGCTGGAATGATTGGCGGATGAGTGACAGAACATTGAATGCAGAGCTGAAGGCTGATTGGCTGATGCTTCTGGAATGTCAGGTGAGGTAGCAGAGAAGCACTCTGGTATGCATCCTCAGAGAGAGAGAGAAAGTTGGTCAGAGTGTATGGCTTGAGGTAGTGGGGAGAAAACGGGTTATGAAAATTGTAGAAACAGCTTATTTTAAAGTTTGAAGATAATAAATTATAGGAAAATGTGGGTGATTGTTACAACAATTACTATCATAAGTTTTTCCACTTCAGTATTTGAGTACCTGAGTAATTGCCCTTCCCTTCCTTCCTTATATCTGTAATTCCATGATAAATTCCTTTTGTTTGATTCTGAGAAAAATTCTCCTCATTATTAATTTTTAGGTTAGATTATAATGATATTTAGCAGTCAGAGGAACTCGAGTATATAACACCCATGGAGGAAGACAACAAAGCTTATAGCAACAAAGCCTTTTCACTTAACAACTAAATAATTTAAATCCCAGCAGGGTTAGAAGACACTGGTTGGTCCACAGAGATAAAGAGGAAAGCCCAGACACTTTAGTTAGGAGTGGTTTTCCTTTGCGTTAACCCGCAACCTAGTAGCACTAAAAAGAGCTGGTTAGGTTTTAAGGTAAAAGTGCCAGAGAAGCTCCGGCGACGGAGTGTGTCAGTCACTACAGAGTGAGATTAGTCAGAAGGGACACCTCCTTGGGGACCTTGCACATGGACAGCTGAGTGATATTCACAGCCAAAAACTGAAGCTGTCTCCTTTACATCAAGTCAAACCTGTATTACAAAACCTCTCTCTGTGATGGTAGGAGGATAGCAAGTAAGTTGATATGTCTCGAGGAACATTGTAGATTTTTACTACAACGTCTAGAATTCCCAGCTAGCCTATCCAGGAGCTGGTGATCTGAAGAGTTGTAGTCCAAAAAATGATTTTTTTTCCAGCTCTGGAAGGGACATTGAGAGATAACTGGAGGGTGGAGTTTGGGTAAAAGGCAGATGAATAGGCAGTAACTGAGAGCTGTGTGGGTGAGGGAGCTTTGGCAGAAGTAAAATAAATATTAATACAAGTTGGTAAACAAGTCAAACAACATTCAATGAGAGACTGTGGAAGGTCTATTTGGCAAGATATCAACAGAGTGCCCTAAGACCCTAAGACTGTAGTGATGAGGGAGCTGAAATACAAGGAAATGGGAGGGGGGCATACGGAAAGGGCCAGGGAAAGGGAAGTTGAGGAAGCTAAGAAGAAAATGAGGAGCTGAGGGTGGGGACCTAAAGGAAGGAAACCGGTAAGACTGGACAGAAACAAGGCAGCCAAGAGAAGGGGCATGGAGGAAATAAGATACCTTATAAGAGGAAACAGGACTGAAAGGAATGAAGGAGGAACAAGACATGGAAAAGAACTTGGGGTGGCATTTCCCAGCTCTAGGGCTCTTCCTCCATGCACATTCCTATCATGTCATGCTCATTTCACTAGGATTTGAGCATTTCACTAGCCTTTGAGCAGGCACAGACAATCTGCTATGGGGTGAAACAGGAGTCTAAGATCATCAATAATTCTTTGAATGTACCTGCAAACAAACTGGCAACTCATATGGCTTTATAGGACATATGTAATTCTGTGCCTGTGCGCTTACCAGAATTCTTGCTTGCAGTAGCTAGGTAACTCTCATTTCCAGAGACTCTTCACAGCCCCATGTAGGGGGCATTGCAGCAACTCCGCTCATTGTGCCAAGGCATATGTCATCATGGTCAGTTCTGATGTCATCAAGAAGGGACACCACCGGTGCACCAGCATAAGCAAAGAAAAGACAGACCTAGATACAGCTGTCACTGGAGCACTGGCAATGATGGTATGATTGCAATTGCTTTGGTGCTATTGCCATCCAAACTGAGGCCTTCATATGGTCTGTATCTGACCAGATTTGTTCCAATTTCTCCTGCACTATCACTGTCATTTCACTCCCTGGCATTTCATGACCCTGGTTTCATTAGTAGGGAGTGGATGTTGAGAAATAATTGTGCCAAACACCAAGGATCACTTCTCCATCACAGGCAATAAACAGAATAACTGGCTGAGGTGACTAGAGACTCCCCCAGAACAGTCACAAAATTATTTGGGCTCCTTTTTGCAGTGGGAGCAGAACTCCTGTAAGTTTAATGCCCACCAAATTATGATGGCTCCATGACAAAAGCGCCACATACTGATCCCCAAGAGGACAGTTGAAGAGTTAGTTAGACAGTTAGGCAGACAGTTAGGGAAGAGATTTGGAGAAAAGAGGTTGCAGATAGGGAATTGAAGAGAGAGAGTTAGGAGATTGTATTGAGACAGTTAAGAGAGAATGTTAGAGAGAACAGGAAAGAGTTTAAAAGTATAGAGAATATATACATATAGTCAAAGAAATATTATAACAGTGAATGAAAACAAACAAATCCAATGTGAAAGCAAATGATATTTAAATGAATAAGTCTAAACATCTGTGATTTACTCCTGTGATTTGCATGACATTTATAAAATCAATAAATCTTTTGAACTGGCAGTACATGTCTAAGATCTGTTTGGTGTTAAGGGAATAATACCTGGTGGCAGCATGAAGTGAGGACACACATCCAGAGGGTGGACTTGTGTTTAAGGCAAAATAAACAAAGGACACGGGTTGTACGTCACAGGATCAAACAGGTCCTCCAGCCAACCTGAATATATGAGCCACTTGGCATAAGACCTCTTGGGGGCAGCCTTCCACCAATGGCAGGTCTCTTTAAATATATGTCACAGAGAGATATATATATACACTGAATAAACAATTACAGCAACTAGAGGTGAAGCAACTTGTATTTGTTCTCATAGGGAAAGGCTCTGCTGAGTTCTCAGCTGTTGGACTTTACACAGGACAATAAAATAAAATTGTAGGAAAAAGGTTGGGCTGAACCCATCCCAACTTGAGTGCCATCCTTTAGGAGAGGAGAGAGAAGCCCATAGAGCGATATATACACTGAATAAACAATTACAGCAACTAGAGGTGAAGCAACTTGTATTTGTTCTCATAGGGAAAGGCTCTGCTGAGTTCTCAGCTGTTGGACTTTACACAGGACAATAAAATAAAATTGTAGGAAAAAGGTTGGGCTGAACCCATCCCAACTTGAGTGCCATCCTTTAGGAGAGGAGAGAGAAGCCCATAGAGCGCCAGAAGCATTGGGCTGAACCCATCCCAACTTGAGTGCCGTCCTTTCTTGAGGAGAGGAGAGAGAAGCCCATAGAGCCCCAGAAGCAGAACATACAACCTGTCAGAAAACTGATAACTCTGTTGGGAGAATGGGATGAGAGAGATATGAGAAGGGTCACAGAAAAAGCAAGGAAGACAGAGGTAGATCTGGGTGATAAAATGAAAGCTGAGACCAGTGAAGAGACAGGAGAGTTGAAAGATAAAGAGTGGGTGTGTGGGTGTGTCTGAGGCTGAAGTTCCAGTGAAAGAGTCAGGAAACCAGTCAGAGGAAAGGAGGGAGCCACTGGGGGAAGGAACGTTAAGGGTAGAAGAGGTGGAGGAGAGGTTAGAAAAGGCACAAATAAGGCAGGAGGGGGAAGGGAGGTATATAAGGGGCAGGAAATCAAGAAGAGAAGCAGGAGAGGTAAAAGCACAAAAGGAGAGGGTATTACTACTAGGCTGGGAGTGAATATAGATGGAGAACCCATGGACTAAACTGATAGATAGGGGGTTCTAATATAACATATACGATGTACTGGCTTTACAATTTAAGATAACACATGCTATTTGATTCACATGTACTTACACTGGTAATCATGCCCTGTACCTGTAGTTGAAATATGATTTCACTATTTCCTTACTATAATGATATTCTATATGCATTTTTTGTATCTGTATTTATATGTATTCTCTATAGCTAATGTATTTCGTGTCCTCATTTCTCTCTTGGTGCTCCTGGCCCATCCCACTTGGCACTTGCATAGACATTCCTACATTATCACACAGATAACATTCACAGCGCTTCAGGCAAAAGACTGTAACATGTTTCTAACTACACAATGGTTCACTCAAATTCACAAACTTGGCAGCCACTAACCCTGGGATTTTTTTCTCACATCTACCACGGCCAATCAGAAGGCCAATAAGTGGATGCTGTGCTTATTGTATTTTGTGTAAGAATCTTATAAAAATGCTGTATCACATGCATGATGGGACTCCCGATCTGCCTTTTAAGACAGAAGTCCAGCTATATGTTTAATAAAAATAACAATTGACTCACATATAGTCTGACTGATGCGCTATATCTGTTATTCCCTGCCGGAGAATTGAAACCTAAAATTGGATGGTAACAAAACAATGGGAGAAGTTGATGATACCCCATGAGGAGGCAGAAAGGTGATGAAGAGAAGTAAGGCTGGAGAAGCCCTCCTACTGGAGAGAGAAAGAGGCGAGAGAGCGGAGTAGAAAGATCAGGGAGGAAAGAGCCAAGCCAGACAGGGAAAGGAGAGAAAAGGAAAGATGGATCAGCCCTTCAGAGAGGACTTTGGCAAAACCTCCTCCTGTACTGTGATCGGGTTCACCATATATCTGGAGCAGTTCCTCTCTTCTGGCGTGAAATAAAGAGTGAATCTCTTTTTGAACATTAACAGATTTATTGGTTTTAACATTTGGAAAATCAACAATCACTTCAGCTGGCTCAAACAAATTAATATCGGGCAACTGTCCATACCGAGGGGACAACAATTCTGTCTTTGAATTGATGGGATTTACACAGGGGCTGGTCCAAACCATTAGCGATCATTGGGCTTCCTCATGGGTCCTTACTGTGCAGATGGTTCCACAGCAGGGGTGTCTGGCCCAGTCACCCTCTGATGGTGAACTGTTGAAAGAGGAGTCCGGCCAGACCACCTTCTTCCAGCGACCTTGACCTCGTGGATATACTACTACAGTCCATTCTAGGAAGTCCACTTGTGTCCCCTTTCCTTTGGAGATGTCAGGATTAGGTAACAACCCTCCTGTCTTCGGATTGGGAAAATCTTCTAATAGTCCTCTCATTCTATCATAGTCAGCTTCCTTCTTTTTTCCTTTTTTCTCCTTCTCCCTCTGTCCTCTCTGCTGTTCTCGGTACTCTCAATTGTCTCCTCCCACTGTGATCTTTTATATCTTCCTCCCATACGGGTAAAATCAACTCCTCCTCTCCTTCTTTCTCTTTCTCCTCTACCAAGCAAATCTCAATCCTTTCCTCCTTTTTCTCCTCTTCCCTCCTTGTCTCCTCCTCTACATTCACCCCCTTTTCTAATGTCTCTCCCACTCTCTCTGTTCCATCTTGTGCAGGTGTCTTTTGTTAAGGGGACAGCTCACTCTCCATTTTCTCTCTTTTCTCTATCCCTCACTCACATGTACCATGAAGAGGAGATGTTGAATATTGCAGTTGATGTTAGTTTTTTGGATCTTCCTGAAATAAATGTTGATGTTTTGGAACTGGTTGGCCAGTTGTCTTTATTGGACTCTACAGAAGAAATAACAAATAACAATTCACAATTGTGAATTTCGTTGTATGTGTATATACTTACAATGACAATAAATTATTATTGTTAAATCCACAAGCATCCACCAACAACAAACCCTCACAAAAATAAAATAAAACAAATTACTAGGAAGTCTGAAGCCCTCGTTTGCCTCTAATTATCCGACTGCTACCACCATCACCACATGCTTATTTTGCCTTTGTGGGAATTGGTAGAATCTCTGTTTCTCCTTGCTCCTGATGCTGCACCTAGCCTCCCACTGGATGATTGTTCAAGGCTAACAGACTCAAGGACAAGAGGGAAACACAAAAAATACGTAGTCAGAGTTGGCTTGGACAAAATCTCCTGCATCCCTCTCTGCCTCAAGCAATCTGAGTTAAAACCAACAGTTTTAATTAAGCCCAGAAAAGGTCTGAAAGCCAGAGCAAGTGACACTACTCTGGTAAAATGTGACTATATCAGCCACCCTCTATTAAATAATATTTAGCACTTACCTTGAGAACGAAGTTTCCAAACCATTTTCAAGACAGTAAGATATATACGTAACACATTGCAGTAAACTAGCTGAGATTTTACCAAATCACAGATAACTATAGCAAGGCAAAACAGATCTCAAAAGCCAAAATGATTTCCGGAAATGATCTCCTACAGGTCAAGAAAATGAAACAACTGGAATACCGCTTTTCATCTACAGTTCCCAGTCAATACTACTCAAATTTTCATCTCAAAAAATGACATTTCCCTTTCACGGAACTGGGTGGCAGGCGTCTAGAGCCACAGAACCTAAACAGATACCTATCAGCAACTCCGAGTCCTGCCAGTATATGGACATAGGGATCAGATTCTGTGGCAGACCCACACACTACTCTGACCTCAAATTTAATATGGCAAGGCTGTTACAGGATCTAATAATGCCAACGTCAGTGGTTCCTGTATCATGTCATCTTCTAATGAGATTTGTATCAGCTTTGTCAACATTGTCCTAATGTATTTGTGTAAGTCATTCTGTACACGAACAAATAAAAGACAAATCTGACATAAGAAATGACAGTATTCAAAATCTAGTGGGTAATACTTCAGCCTAGTGGCCATTCTTGAACAAAGGAAGGAACTGAAATACAGAAAGTACAATAATTATGGTAATTATCTTTCAACTTATGCATTAAAGTACAGACAATGATAATTATTTTGACAGTGACCAT